TTGTGTGTCTTTGTGCGTGGCCTCACCACAGCTGGGTCTTCCCGGTTCCCGGGGCTCCGCAGACCTCGGTCAGCTTCCCAACAGGAATTCCTCCGTGCAGCCGTTCGTCCAGGCGGGAGCAGAAAGTCACGATGCTCCGGCTCTGCTCCTCCTTCTGCAGCAGCTCCAGAGCGGTGAGGGGAGGTGCACCTCCTCCGCTGGAGCCCAGGGCCTCCAGCACCTCCTGCGCCTCCTGCTGCGAGACGCCCGCCTCTGGAGTCAGAGGAGCCGGTTACCATGGTGACGCGTGGTGAACCCCACACAATCAGACGCCGCTTTGTATTTTTAAACAACTTCCTTTATTTTATATATTATTTTTTATATTAATGTTTAATATATTAATATTTATATATTTATTATTTAATATATGATATATTATTATTTATTATATATTGTTTTATATATTTATATATTATATTTTTTATTTATTTATATTTTATTGTGTTTTCTTTTTTCTTTTTCTTATTCTATTATATCATAGAATTTGATTTATGGAAGGAGTGAATTATATAAATGAGTAGAATATGACGGTACATACATATATATATATATACATATATATATATATATAGATAGAGAGAGAGAGAGAGAGATATTTATATATATATAGATTGATAAATAGACCATTAAGAACCACACTCCATACCAGTAAGTGGCGGTAATGCTAATTAAACTTTGTTGCCAACCGCCATAAAACTCCACAAGAAGAAGAAGAACTTTGTTCCGGTTCTTTCCACCTAGAGAATAATAACTAATTCCGAGGTGATAGAGGACTATGCAATGGCCTGACTTCCTTCCGGTTGTTGGTGTGGTCAGACCGGACTAACAACGCCTCCAACCGGGGTCTGACCGGGTTCCGACCGGGCTCAGACCAGGCTCCAATCGGGGTCTGACCGGGTTCCGACCGGGCTCATACCGGGCTCCAACCGGCCCCAGACCGGCCACTGACCGGCCTAGGACCGGGGTCTGACCGGCCCCAGACCGGCCTCATACCGGGCTCCAACCGGCCTCATACCGGCCCCGGACCGGTAGGTCCTCCCGGGGTTCCGGAGGCTGTGTGTCCGTACCTTCCGCTAGCTCCTCCGGGCTGAACGACTGTAGCTCGGCGGTGAACTGGAACCCGGCCCGGAGCAGCTTTAGCCGGACTCCGGGACTCAGACTCAGGCTGGAGAGCGGCCGCAGCATCCTCAGAGGTTCAAAACATCCGCCGGGACAGATTTCCCAGCATGCCTTTCACCTTCTTCTTCTTCTTTTTTTTTTTTTATGGCGGTTGGCAAGCAACTTTTAGATGTGCATTACCGCCATCTACTGGAATGGAGTGTGGATCGGGATGCTAACTTTAAATACCCCCCTCAAAGCAAAACAAAACAAAACAAACCAAACAAACAAACAAAAAACGTATATCTTTTCTATCAATTTTTCTTGAGATAATTAATTATATAACTTATATCTTTAGAAGTAGAATTTTTTTCTAAAATATCTTGTAAATTTAACTGTAATTTATTTTGCCTTTCACCTTCTCTGAGCTCTCTTCTTTTTCTTCTTCTCTTCTTTTTTATATGGCGGTTGGCAAACAACGTTTAGGTGCATTACCGCCACCTTCCAGATTGGAGTATGGATTCGACAATCTATTCAATTCTTCCTAACACACCCGTTTTTCTTAAAAAATGAAAACACTCCCAAAAACCACATCCTCAGACGACCTCTGAAACAAATCCCCAATATCCAATTTTATCTCTGAGCTCTCAGTTTCCGGAGTCCTTTTTTTAAATTTATTTATTTTACATTCGTTTCTGAAGATTGATTAAGTAAGGATGAATAAATTATTATTAATTAATTAATTGATATTTTTCAGCTGTTTTGGTCGACACCCTGATTGTCCTATACTATAAATGAGAGCATCTGAGGAAACCGATGTCTGTCCTTAAGATATGAAGTCACTCCATAATTACACAAATTGATTCTGAGTCTCTAATTTCTGGTGATAAGATCTTAGTCACTCACAAAAGGTGGAAACTCCTCCACCAAATTGGAGAAAAATTAGCTTGAACATCGGAGCTTTATTCTGGAAAGCCGGAAGTTATATCCCTGCTCCCTTTTACGTCATCAAGACGCGACACACGTGACGAGCAGCCCGGAGTCTCACCGGTCTGTGTTTTTGTTTGTATTTTATGGAAGTTTTGGGCTGTTTCAGGGACTCCGTCCTCAGCAGAAGAAGAACAGGTAGATTATTTTCCTCATAATGAGCAGCTCACAGTTACTGTTAGCAGAAAAGGACGATTGTTGTTTGGAAAAGTCCTGAATTTTGGGCAGCTACGTGTCTGAGAAGTGCCCAGAAAGCCTTCCAATCCTGATGAGGTCTGAATTGACTGATCTTAGTCCGGTTTCGGAGTCCCACAGTCTGGAAGTGGTCCAGGGGCTCCTCAATGTCCACAGACCTGAACGAGTTTCAGTAAAACTGACAGCAGATTAAATCAGACTAAAGGAGGAACAGGTCCCTGACTGACCCCCCAAAAGAACTACAATAACCAGAATGCCTTTCATTCCACAGAGCAAAGCAGCTGGGAGCTGAAGATGGAGGACAGGGACACCTCAGCCCACAGACCGGAGGAGGAAGAGGAGCAGGAGCAGAGTGAAGAAGAGGAAGAAGAAGAGGGGGAGGAAGAAGAAGAGGGGGAAGAAGAGGGAGAGGGGGAGGAAGACGGAGAGGGGGAGGAAGAGGGGGGGCAGATGGAGGGAGAGGC